CACAGGCGCTCATCGCTTTCACCCTTGCCTCGAGTCGTGGTAGCAGGCAAGGATTCAGCGACGTCCATAAGAGGTTGGATAGGTTTAATGCGTGTGCTTAACACAGAAAGGGGAAATTGTAGCAATGCATTTTATCTGCAAGAAAGATGATTTGGTCAGGAGGGACACAAGTCTGTTGGCGCAGTCTTAGCTAAGATGTACCTCTAACACCATGATGAGCAAAGTGGCTACAATGCTGAGAGTGATCGGTATGCTGACCGTGTGATAAAATTATGGATGCCACACCCCCTCCTCCCAACCGCATTCGTACACACATCGGTGAAGGTGGAAGAGGGCACTTTTTCCTTCCGAGGTCTAGAGTGATGGGTCAGGAGCCTCAAAAGTGGCATTTTTGGTCGTATTTCATATTGTGAGGCCACACACCAAGCTGTTTGACTAACCTCCCACAAACAAGCACAGGCCTTCAAGGTGCAACAGAGAGGCATGGGCACAGCCTCCATACGGGTGGATTAGTAGTGAGGTCAACATCCTCACTACAGCGTTGCTCGCACTCCAGGTTTCTGTTGGGGGTGGGCGGCGTGAGGGATTGCGGAGGCACGGGGTCGACGGAAATTTGAAGCTGGTGGTCACAACGCGGGATAATTGGGTCGTGTTGCAGTGACATGGCTCTCATTAGGCCGTTGCCATGCCAAAGGGACAAGAATGAGAACTGCTTTGCTGTGTCCATCATCAGAATAACCATCGTGGCGTTGTCAGGACAACATCCACCCTCTCAAGAGCATGATGTGACACCACTAGGTACACTTTGGGACGCTTTGGTTCACAGGTTGCGGTGCCTACAACAGGGTACAGTTCACACTTGCAAGGTATAGACTCAATCGGAAGCGGTTAGTCTGACAATCACTAACCCATCAGCCTGTCAAACACCACTCACCTCCGAAGGCGACACAACAAACGATCTCGACTCATCACAAGTCACTTGGACGGTGGATAGTGTAGTCAACACCAAAGGAATCACGATGCCCGTTAACACGATTCAATTAAAGGTGAGCGGAACTAAGTAATCGCATGCACTCGATGTGTCGGAGAGTGGCGTTGCGTGAGCAGAGTTCACGCTAAGCTGTCAAGGCTGGGGAGCAGAAGCTTACAGTCGCGTGACTGAAGGAGTGAGTGAGTGAGCAGCAATCACTCATCATGCCTAGAGGAGCAACGTTCAGCTCCAAATG